ACATGGGCCCGGTGGACACTTGACCGGAGACCCCACAAGCACAGGACCCCTATGCTAACCTGTGAATGGCAAGTGACCATTTACATTTAGTTCATGTAAGTGGTTGTCGTAGGGTTTCCAGCACGTTGGTTTGCCAAGGGGCCCATAATGCCATTAAGATGGCTCTGAAGGTGGCCCAAATTACTGAGTACAAAAAAAACATGAGGATAGGTGTAAGGGTGTTATGTTTCTATGCGCGTGTTCTCTCACGGGGTGCTCTCACTGACGAGTTAATGAGTGTGAATATTTAGTTTCAAATACCAGACAGATCTTTGATAATACGCTAAATGACTTTCATAAAGAGACATAAGATCTCATACAGAAAGTGATAAACAAGAAGCGCAGTATCATCTTCAGTGTTACAGCCATGTCAATGGATGGCATTCGGCTCGAGAATCTAACTCTATCTAAAGGATTGTACCATGGTATTATTATATAAAGGTAGATGCAGAAAGCAGTTCCTGTTGTGGGAACTAGACGGTCAGTGAGACCTACTGCAGTATACATGTGGTCAAGTGGCAAAATCTAGTCAGAGACCTTCCTACAATGTTGTCAGCCCCCAACTGTGTTTATCGGGGAAGATGGAAGAACATTTTCAATGAACCGCAAAAAAACCTTACAGTTATAACGTTCAATCATTCAATTAGGTGCGGTCTCCCCAAAGAAGGTTGGCTGCAATGGATCTCCAGCAAGCTCTGTCTCTTGTCCTGGTTGTACACTCGCTCAGAATGCTGCCCGTCCATCTCATCATGTTGTCCCCCCTCCATTTTTATCGTTTTGTATCACAATGATTTTTTTGTTGTTGTTTTCAGCCCTTGATTATCTATGACGCAAAAATAGTCCGTTTTTTTAGTCCCTAGATGCTCATGATTTTGTGTGTGTGTGTGTGTGTGGGGGGGGGGGGGGGGGGGGGTGAGGGGGGGCGGTGCTTATTATCTAATTTCTTTGATCTCGTTGAAACATTGTAAATACATAGAATGACATTTTAGATTTTACAGTAATCTCATTAAAATTTAAGTTCCTTTCATTTTTTTTTCTTCTTAGAGGCGTAGCTGTGTCATAAGTATGTCTCTTTACAGACCAAGCGCCAGTATTGTTATGCTCTCTTGGGACTGACTGACTGACTTTCTACCCCACTAGGACATCACACAAGCGATAAACACCCGATGACACAAAGTGCCACCATGTGGATTAGGATCGCAGTGAAGAAGTCCCAGAAACCGCGTTTAGACAATTGGCCATATTTATGGCCTCCGGCCCCTGGAAAAAGCCAGGGTGGCACTTCAAATAACAAAAAAATTCATCCTAAAAAAGGACAAAGCAAGTTAGGACAGTTCTCTTGGGCATGAATAACGCAATATAAATGACCCACCTTAAATCCCGGTGGAAGTGCTGGTACAGTAAAACTTTCACCTTGTGCAGAGTTATAAATTTGCACCTCAACTCAGTGTGAAGTGATGTATATATCAGTTTTCATAAGCTAGCTATATGACACAATACCACAATAGTAATTTGTGGACACGCCTCAATCTAAACAACATTGAATGATGTTTAATTTGGGTTAAGTTAACAAACAGTATGACTGATCAAGAATATACATACTTTTTCTTTGATCCCCCAATGGAACCCGTGTGCCTGTGTTATTGTGTGCTTATTAACATTACTTCCTAAAACTAATGAAAATAAACCTTCCAGAACTCTAGCAAGAAAGTTTCATGATAAAAATATATATCGATTAAAAAAAAAACTACATTTGATATTCGTCGTTAGTTAAGTTTTTCATTTTCTTAACGTATGTCTGGAATGAGCATGCCAAATGTCATTACAATCGGTCCTTTAGTTTCCGATGAAAATTAAAATCTATTCATGTACATTAGTTTCTCAATGGACTATTTCATGTTTTCCACCATGAAGTTCCCTTAGCATAATAAGGTAAGGTCTAGCTACTTATTTGTATATGCCAAATATTTATATGGTATTCTAAGAATTTGAGGTCTTAATGTCCAACAGTTGTATCCAAGACCCAACCTGGCAAGCTCTGTATAGAACTCACTTTTGTTTATTTACTAATTGTTATTGTTGTTGTTGTTGTTGTTGTTGCTGATAGCGCGAGCCCTGTTCAACTATCGCATTTGTTATCCTCTCTGTCTCTCGCTCTCTCTCTATTACTCTTACTTCTTTCTCTGTGTTTGTGTGTGTGTGCGTGTCTCTGTGTGTGTGTGTGTGTGTGTGTGTGTGTGTGTGTGTGTGTGTGTGTGTGTCCTGAAAAAAAGAATAAATTAGCCGAAGAAGTTATTAAAGACTCACAGATTCTGCACCTGAATTCTTTGAATATCTTGGACATCAGAAAAAAGACAGTTATTATTTTGCTGGTAGTGTTACGATAAGAAAGAAACTGGAACATGGTGTAATCACTGGAAAGATCTGTGGGGGGAGGGGGGGGGGAGACAGAGGAAGACAATGCAGAAAGATTCTCGACAGCCTTTTGTCATGGAATAGAGGGGCGTCAGCACCCGAACTGTTAAATGCCGTTGAGGATCTTAGATTGTGGAGAGGCATGATTTTCCACGCCATTGGGCTAGGCACATGATGCTGATTCCCCCTCCCCCTCTCCGCCCCAATCTCCGTATCTCCATGTCTCTCTTGCTCGCTCTCTATCTACTGTTTCCCTATGGCAACATAACATAAGCTCAATTCTGACGTCACTTCAGATGATATTTTAGTTCCGTTTTCTGATTTCCTAACGCTAGCTGATGTTACGTTTTTCTGTGATCCATGAAATTGAAATATCAAGTCCTTGCTGCAATGAGTCACGCCTAGTTTTGATCAATAAAAATCCACTATTGTGTATTATTCAATCTGTTTGTATACTTTTTGTTTTCTTCTTCAATTAACAAATCATGTCTTGCTCAACTGATGATGTATTTGTCGCAAATAAATATCAGAATATCAAGTAAATGCTCTTCGAACTCTTGTAACCATATTGTGGCCAGTAGGAAATTATTATAAGATTGAATTCTGTTCTGAGGTCGACATAAACTAAAACAAGTATCAGAAAAAATCTTCTTGTTTTCCTTTAGTCTTGTTCTGCATCTCAGCGTCAGGTTTTGAAGAGGCATCGGGAGCGAGCTTCGGTATGTGCTACGTAGACGTCACATTCACTTGAATGGTGAATCTCTGGATCTGCTTCCATTATGTCCAAGTGACAGGGCTCTCTGTTTTGCACTGTCTGGTAGTCTTGATGCATGTCAAAACCATTTGATCTGAAGTTGTCTTATGATCTAATTTTGTGCATCAGGAAATGCTTTGGTAAGAAAAGCTAAATCACACATCTGGTGCAGAAAAGTTTATACAAAGAGTCATATGTAACCATAAACTCCAAACCAACCAGAAAGAGATTTCTTTCAATGCTATATATTTATTTATTGTATTTCAGTGTAAAGGAAGATCATCACATCCATTCGAACCCTATTTATTTCGTTTTTAAAATGCTTTAGTTATTTAAGCCGAAAGCATTTAATAATTGAGACAACCAGGAATTTTTTTTCCTTTTGCTACTCACCATAAAATATTTTTTTCAGTAGTGTGCGGCGGTGGCGTAACGGCTAGACGTTCACCTCCGACCCGTTGGTCTAGGTTTCAGATCAATATCGATGTGGATTTTTTCTTTCTCAAAACTGCAGAACACGTCTTAGAATACCACTGATTACGAAGAAGAAAAACACAGATATTCTGTATTATCTGAGCATTGCGAAGAACTGGCTCCTAAACGGCTGTCCAGCCCCGAAAACATCACGGTGGCATGCGGAGAACTGGCTCCTAAACGGCTGTCCAGCCCCGAAAACTTCACGGTGGCATGCGGAGAACTGGCTCCTAAACGGCTGTCCAGCCCCAAAAACATCACGGTGGCATGAGGAGAACAGATAAGGAAGATACAGTTTCCAGAAGATGAGGAAAAAGCAGACCTCTGAGAGTGGATGCAAGCCATTGAAGATGCACTGGTTGTAAAAGCACATAGGGTTGGAAAAGTGGCGTTTTGTAAAGCACAAGCTTGTTGATGATAAAAATTATCCTGGGTCAGAGCTTCACCCAACCTAAAATGAATGCCAGATAAAGTCGTGAAAATTCAAGTCCGCTAGTCTGATGCTGGCGATGTCTTCCACGGAGTGCGTATAGGTCTATGCAACTGCTTGTCTAACATCATGTGGGTGATAGTAAAAAAGTCCTTGACTTGTTTCTTGCATGCTGTAAAATATGTACATTTAGCTTTATTTTATTGTTGCCATTTTGGTCGTCACTGTAAATATTGTAATATATTTGGTCACAAAAGGGAGTGATAAACACCCGGTGACACAAAGTGCCACCATTTAGATGTGCATCCCTCAGGTGGAGGTCGCAAAAACCCCGTTAAACCGTTAGGGTTATATTAGGGTCCCCGACAACAGCCAGGGTCTGGCTTTAAATAACAAAAAATTTGCGACGCAGTTTTGTTACCAGCTTTCGCAGTCTAATTCCATTTTAGACGAAATACTGTATGATATACGGACTAACAACTGTGAAGTTATAAGTTACTGCTGATTGACTTCATTTAGACCAAAATACCGATGACATATAGAATGAAATTGTCAAGTAACAGGTTACTGCAGTCTGATTTCATTTTGAGTCAATTATGGTATGAAGTGAAGACTAAAATTATCAGGCTGCAAGCTATCGCAGTTTGGTTACAATTCTGGACAAAATAAGATACGTGGGCTCGACTTGCGAAGTTACAAAGTTACTATAGTTTGATTCTCTTTTGGATCAGATATGGTATGCTTGTGCACTAGAATTGTGAAGTTACATGTCATTGCAGTTTGATTATATTTTAGTGGACCAAACACGCTGTGATCAGTGGACTTAAATATGTCTGAAATAAAAACACTATCAGGTGGTCATAAACTGATAGATACATTATGTATACGTCAGTCTACATTATTGTTGTTATTACTGATGGGCTTTTGAGTGTCGCTTGATAGTTTCATTTCCTCAACAATATATTCTATTTCTGTTTTTGCAACTGCTTTCTCAAACGTGGCCGGATCTTGGTAAGTGTAAAACTGGGCGACAATCACGAAGATGAAGAAGTTGAGCAGCATCAGTCCGCCCAGCAGGAACATGAGGTACTCCATCTTGCAGTGGTTGATGTCGTCACACCACCATGGATCTGAAACACAATAATTGTAAAAAATAAATAAAAGAAAAAGCAATATAACAATAACAATAACGAGGATAAGGATGAGGAGGGGAGGAAGAGGAATAGAAGGAAGAAGAAAAAAATAGAAAAAAAAAGAAGAAGAAAAAAAGAAGAAGAAGAAGAAGAAAAGAAAAAGAAGAAAAAGAAGAAGAAGAAGAAGAAGAAGAAGAAGAAGAAGAAGAAGAAGAAGAAGAAGAAGAAGAAGAAGAAGAAGAAGAAGAAGAAGAAGAAGAAGAAGAAGAAGAAGAAGAAGAAGAAGAAGAAGAAGAAGAAGAAGAAGAAGAAGAAGAAGAAAAAGAAGAAAAAGAAGAAGACGAAGAAGAAGAACAAGAAGAACAAGAAGAAAAAGAAGATGAAGAAGAAGAAGAAGACGAAGAAGACGAAGAAGAAGAAGAAGAAAAATAATAAGAAGAAGAAGAGGAGAAGAAGAAATAGAAGTAGAAAAAGAAACAGAAGGAAAAGAAAAAGAAGAAAAATTATATAACAGCTTACAATCTGTTAGTAATAATGATGACGCCGATAATGTTTTCTTTTTACAATGATGATGATGATCATGACAGTTACTATTGTATATTCTATAGTATAATGAATTTACGAGCATATTAAGCGAAAGCTGAAAAGCAACAAAAGCTGCTTAGAGACAATTATAATGCGTGTATGTCTTGCAAGAAGACTTAAAATAGTGTCTGCAGACTTACTGCCTTCTGTAGCTTTCTGGACTATAGCAAGTATTGCCGTAGAAACCCAGTTACCCACTCCAGTAGCCGCTAGAAACAATCCAGTTAGCAAGCCCTGCATAGCTACAGGCGCTTGGTTATAGGCAAACTCCAGGGCTGGCCAAGGAAAAGTAAAAAATCATACGTTTTAGAGTTAACATGCCTGCAAAGTCACTAGTTAACAAAATATTGACGATAAAGATAACAACATTTTTTTTAAAACAGGGGATGGCAGGTGGGCACAATACAAAACAAAAACAAAACAAAAAACCACAAAAGAATAGAAATGACCAGAGGGAGCTGTGTTAGAGCTAGTTTGTTTACATTTTTGGAGAGTTAAAGGCGTTGGCGTGAGCAAAAATAAAACATGCGATATTAACAGCATTGGAAAAAAACCCGTAACCCAATGCCAAGGCACGTGGCTGAAGGTCTACCAATCAAAAGTGAGCTAGTGTGTAACACTGTACATGATGAGACCAACGTTAGTTTAATCCCGACCTGTCTGTGAAGATCAGTACATCTGTCTCATCTGACTTGTCACTGAAAGCGTGCAGAGGGCACAGACCTCGGCGTTGACAGCAACGGGATTCTGCTGCCGACAACTCCTATCAAGCGTGACGACACAGGAGAAGGTGAGTTAGTGCGCTTTAAGCACTAGTATCCATTCCTTACCTGGGTGGATGTCTGTAAGACTGCAGACCTGTTTGATATTATTCTCTGCCCTATCCAGCCATGATTTGCCCTTTTTTATTTTGTGGCTCTTTGTCCTGAAGAGCTTGTAGTGCAAAGGGTGTTTCAGACCGGAACTTATCTTGAGATAGGCGCAAGCCCTCCAAATCTTGATCCCGTAATTCGTGGTAGCAAATTCAAGAAGTATTTCATTTCTACACAAGAGGTATCTCTTGTGTACCCCGGAATGGCTTCGTTCTGCACCTTTTCAAGTCTTTCACTCTGAGTATGGTTGACAGTGAGAATGTCTAAAGCATATTCGATGGGATAAAGTACAAGTCCCTGGAACAGAAGATGGCTCTGATCAATATTGACAGCGGTCAGGACTCTCATTACTGACACGACTTTGCCTGATTTTTACAACATAATCAATGTGCTCTTTGAGAGACAGGCTGGGATCAGGCATCAGTCTGAGGTATGTCATCAGGTTTGTTCTCATCAAAGTTTCATCGCTGCTTTACACTGCTGATAAGTCTGCCTTCGCCAAATTAAAGACATAGATAAAAGCAGTAGCATATAACAACTACATACATAACAGTAACACATGTAACAGTAACACATACAACAGAACCATATGACCATATACCAATAGCGTATATACCAGTAACATATTTACCAGCATCATACACACAATTGGCATAAATAACAGTAACAAGTGTACAGCAACGCTTATAATGATAAAATATTTAACTCTAACACATATACCAGTAACATATTTAGCAGTAACATTTTAACAGTAACATATTTAACAGCAACACGAGCAACAGAGGCACTGTGGCTACCCTATCGATAAGCAGAGACATGGACACCTACACGTGATGCTGGTGAAAATCTCGCTGGCACCGATGAGAGCAAACTGTGGGATCTGAACAAACACCGACATGCTGGAGGCCGTGAAGTTCTCACCACCCAACACCTGCAGGTGGGAGTGCTCCTCCAGATCCACTTTTCTGTAGATCTCCACGATTCCCGCCACTACCACTGCTATCACTGCTAGAATCATTCCGACTCCTAGAAGATAAATGTAACTCTTTCAGTACTAACCAACTCACCATACGTTTCTTAGTCATTGCAAAGATAATATGATATGCTTACTGTCTTTAGTCGTAGTCGGATGTTACATTATTTCATTGTATCTGATATATATTTTAAAAGATCTGAACATCAAGGAAGATTGGCTAACAAACAGCATTTTGTCTCAGACGCTAAAATATTTTGGTCATATCAAGCTCCATGGCGGATTGGAAAAGAGTAATATCAGAAGGCATGGTACCAGAAACAAGGGAATATCCGGTGCGCAAGACGAAGATAGACACAGGATATACGTGACTCCTTGAATATGAAAGTACACGAGGCGGGAGAGCTGGCGAGTTTGTTTCAGGCAGACTGTGATATGAGTTATGAGTTAGATTATCTTAACAGCACTCCGGACACATCCATAGGCGCTCAGATTATCCTCTCAACATATTCATCAGCGTCGTGCGGTTAATAGTGCCAGTCCTGTTGGCTAAAAAGTCTTCGTGTGCATCCGATGTGCTTCTCATGCTTGGCTGTGACGATCTTTACTCCCAATTCGCGTATTCTTAGCAGTGATGTGAACACGTTGCTTCTAAAATCCTCCAAACGTACTATCTCTCTAAGGGCAATGACAATCTCTGCGTGATCCATGGGCAGCCCATATTCAATTAATGCAGCACCTGCCAGTCTATCAGCTCTCTTATTACCAACAACGCCCGAATGCCCTGGGACGAATATGAAGGTAACTGCACACACAGGAGAGTTTTACAATGACTCAAGCCACTGTCTGCATAACCAGCTTGCCTTGACCAATCGTATCATGCTTAAAGAGTCACTCAGCACACAAGCGGGAATATTCCTGTGATCCCAGCCACATGAAAGCCTGTGTCACCGTCATCACCTCCATCGTCATGCTGCTGGTGGTCATGGAGAAGGCACCGCTGGCTTCTTTAACTGTCTGCCTCATGAGAGCAACGTTCTGCAAAGGACCTGCTATATGATCATGATCTGAATTATTTAATTCACTTTGTAAGGTTTAAAGTTAGCTAGACATCTATTTCAGGATTACACGAAATGACTCTTTTGAGTGTAGTGGCGATGGCGTGTGTCATGAAGAACTCGTATTTATAGACCAGTCTGCACTGGTGAGTGATACCTTCTGCCTTTACTTCCTAGGACACTACCTGGTTCACATTTTAGACTGGATCCACTTGGGAGACAAGCTGATAAAAAAAATATGCCCTAATGTGGATTTGAGCACAAGATCTTTAGGTCGACAGGCAAGAATCTAGATACTGCGTTACCAGATTTGATCCCTTAGCTCTCATGTGAGAGAACCAAGTTCGAATCCACGTAAAGTTGTTGATTTTTTTCCATGGGGAGTGGGAAATCCTCACTTGCACAGTCCGTGGCGACAGCACTAGCCATTTAGGCCGAAATCTTTATTGTCAAATACACCACCCCACCCCCCCCCCCCCACACCCATACACAAAACACCGAGTGTTTAGTGTAACAAATTAAATCAGTATATAATGAAAGCCAGTGGTCAGTTGAGAAATCAGCCATATTATCAATCAGTTATTAAATTTTTTAGCCGCACACCAATACGTTATTTTATGTGAATAGCTTTTACTATAACTAATACATGTTTGGATTTGCGGTGCTAAAAAATTAATAACCCAAAAGACAGAATCGGTTGAAAAGACAATTAGAAGATATAATTTTAATGCAACAACTGACGGAAGCATGAGGAATTTAGTGAAGCCTGGTATGTATAGGGTAATCTAAGAACGTATGTTGCGTTGCTTGGTACATATTGGACAAATAGTTCTAGACCTATATTTTATAGACCAGTCAGCACTTGGTGGCCGTTGTGGTTGGCATCACGCCGGCCACCTTTACTTCCAAAAACTTGTAACTGGAACTCATTTGAGGCTAGGTTGAGGTGGAAGCCAAGGTCATTTTTTAAAGACTAATTCACCACTATCAAAATTTGAACCCACGACTTTTGGATCCACATGCTAGCTTCTAACCACTACACCACCCGGTACACAGTAAGTTAATTACTGAGATAATTTTTAAAAATTGTAAAAATGTTGCAGTTACCAATTCTCGTTAGGTAGGAGAGGGGCCTCTTGATTTTCTCAAAGCACGGATAGATGAGGCGGTCGACGATAGGAATGAGAATTATGATGATGATAGTGTTGAAGGCGTTCAGGGCAGCTGCGGGAATATATCCTCCGTCACCCACACGGATGTCCATTCTTTCTGACTGAGCGAAGAACGTGTTGGACATCTGAATGAAAATAAAAGGCAACAAGCTGTGAATAGTTTAAATTCATCGTTCATTATCCGGTTGTGCCGTTCTATATCACATAGGGCTCGTCGTACCCTGTGCAATCAGTTCAATATTTTGGATGGAATCCACTCTAGCAGCTTTGGCCTCTCTCATCAACGTTTCTCTTTGCGTTTCTTTTGTGCGTCCTGGTCTCCTTAATCCCGTTATTTCCTATTTGAATGCCTGTCTGGTAATTCTCTGCTCATTTTTTCTCAGGATGTGTCCAGTATTTCGCAATCTTCTCTGTCTTATAACTGTTGATACTAGTGGTTGCCCAGGCATTTCTTTATTTCTTCACTTCTTTTGAATTATTCCAATTTTATTTCCATGATTTTCCCCTTTTAATTTTGTTTTCGAATGCATGGAACTTTTGTTCCTTGTCTTTAATAGTTCTCAAAAGTTCACTTGCTTTTGTTAAAACTAAAAAAAAAAAAAAAAAAACCCCATTAAAATTGAGTTCCATGTTTTATTTAAGCTATTAAAATCTACTGCTGCCTTTCAGGTTGAATGAAATTTCTAAATTGATAGGCTGTTGAAAATTGCAACAATCTATTAATATTGGAAAATTGTTAAAAACTCACACTTAGTTAATAACTGACAATCGGCGACATCATCATCATCAAGTGCTTTGCTGACTGGCGTAGGTGATCATGCCTCTCCACAACCTACATGTATCATTGGGTGTACTGATTTCCCTCCATGCTATGACAAAAAGCTGCTTTCCTTCTCCTCTCTTTGCACATATCTGTACAGTGGTCACAACATTTTCCAGTTTCCTTCTTCTCATAACATGACCAAAATATGTTGACTGTATCTTTTTAATGTTTATGATAATTTGTCTTGGAGCCCTCTACTCTTTCAAAACATCTGGGTTGCTCTTTTTAGCTGATCAAAAAATTCTCAGAATTCTTTTGTAAAATGATATCTCCTTGAGGCCTCAAGAAATTGTTTGGCTTGTTTATTAATTGTCCAGGCTTCACAGCCAAATGTTAAAATCGGCTCTATGTAGTAAGCAAGATTTTTTTTCCTGACCTCCAATTGCATGAATTTATTGTGTAAAATGTTTTTTAATTTTAAAATATGAATTTCTAGCCTAAAATGCAGATTTGGACTGTCCTGTTCTGTTCTTTAGTTCTGCCATACATCTTTCCGTTGTATGTTATTCCTGTGCCTAGATACTTACATGTCTGTTCTTGTCCTTAAAAAAACGCATTTGACTTCTATTATAAATTTAGGTCGACAATTGAAAATATTATTAAAAACTGACAATAATAATTTAAAAACAAAATTAATATTTCACCAGGCGAATTTCTTCTCATGACATTGATAATGCCCATTCTAAATTTGCTCCGCTTGGTCAGTTTTAAAAGTGTCCGACGGATTTCGCCCTAAGACTTTGGGACTGACAAGAAAGCTTCCAGCCACTGCTTTCTCGCGGTTCCTAGGGTTGAAAGAGCTAATATTAAAGCGTATACAACAAGGCAGACCAAGAATACGATGGAGAGACAATATCCAGTCAGACCTGCAAACACTCGGTGTCATCAACTGGAAAGAGAAGGCCAACCAGAGAAATAAATGGAGGCGGGTGATATCTGCAGCATTGAACCTCAAGGGCTCGGAATGCTGAAGGAGAAGAAGATGACATAACAATTAGAGATCAAGCGTTTCAGTAGAGAAAACAAGGCACGTGTAACTCACCTGTGCATTGATAGCCCAGTACATAACGACCAGCAGGCAGAAAGGTGTGACTCGAATCACACTGACCAACCCATCCACAAGATGATCCTGAAATTTTCCTCCGAAACTTGTCTTCGCCCTGGCCAAGATTCGTTTCTCCGTTCCTTCAGGCAGCTCCGGGTTTCTAGGTGGCTTGGACTGTGGTTAAAATCAACAGAGCGTTACCATGGATAGGACATCAACATTTCATTAAATACAGATGTGTGTCTTTTCAACGTGAAAGTGGGTAGAAGTGGAACCTTGTGCCTGGAGCTATGTTTAGGAATATTACCTGGTGAGATTTTAATCTCTTGCACGATTCGACTCTTGTCAAAAGCAACGAAGGCGATCTATTCCTAAACGGAAATCGAATTCTTGTATCTCATGGATCTTGAAAAGGAAAATACGTAGCTGATATTATCGTTAAATTTATGTATATTTATTCCTACTTTACGAAACCTGGACAGTGAACAGTTTGTGGATATACGACTCGTACATAGGAAAAGGTCGTGTGCGATGGCAATAAAAATAATTAGATCGTTTGTTTTTGACACTTTTATGAAAACTAGTCTTGGAGACAAATGGTAAACCCAAATGAGCAAGAGGCTGGCAACGATACACGTGGAAAGATAACATCAAGAGCTAAAAGAAGAACAATCTCAGATAGTCCCACCAGGACACGAGTCTGAAAGTATAGCAGCCAGCTTTATTTGTGGAGACGATACTTGATTAATTGCTAGCTCTTATTTTATTAACGTAATCCTAGTAGTAGCTTCTGTGTGGTGCCATCTGATTGCTCGCTCTTATTCTATTGAAGTATTCCTGGTAGTAGCGTCTGTATGGTGACATGCGGAAGCACTCTCAATTACAGGTCTATTTTATCATATTCGACATCATTGCAATTTAGACATTCTCATGCGTGCACAGTCCTCCGATGCAACTCCAGGGTACATAATTATAACTCAGTGTAGCTTTTAGCAATCATGACTCAAAATATTCTTTTTTTTCCTCTCCACCTGCGCTCGTAAAAAGGGAAAGATATCAAAACAAACAAAAAGTAGAACCACTTAGCTTTACAAACTCATAAATGGAAACGACTAATGAGTGTTGCAGCTAGAAAGCCTACATCAGTACAGAACAAAAATCTACAATACCGCAAATAGGAAAGGGAGGAGAGAGAGAGGTAAATACATTCGTTAACTGTTTCTCACTTAAACAGGCAATCAGTGTGTTACACACAAGCAGGTTGTAGAAGCTTTACCTTGCATCCACCTTGTACAAAAATCCCACAGGCGGTTGTGAGAATGCTACCTGTGAATTAAAGATAAACAACATTTGAAAAGTTTGTTATTTTACTTAGTAAACTAAAGTTAGTAAGGAAGTTGGTTTTGCTACAGAAAAAGAAGTCCCTAATTCACATGAAATCACTAACTGTCCTTTTTAGGATGAAATTTTTCGTGATTTGAAGCCCTACTTTGGCCCTTGCTAGGAGCCGCAATATAGCCCGGCAATAAATATTACCTAATGGTTGAACGCGGTTTCTGGGACCTCTCCACGGTGATCCTCACCCACATGGTGGCACATTATGTCATCGGGTGTTTATCGCTTGTGTGATGTCCTGGTGAGGTAGACAGTCAATCAGTTCACATGGATCAAAAAGAAGATAAACGCTGACATCCGTCATGATCTGAACATTGAACGAACGAACGAACTAACGAACAAAGTTTAGTTTCGAAGGATTACGAATTGGGCACACAGGCCGTGGCCTCACTCTATGCATACAATATGCACATATCGTTTTAGCAGATAATAATATCGACAAGAACTTGCTCATAAAAAGCATCCTCTCCCAGCTGATGTATTTTGGTCATGTAAAACAGCATGGCAGCCTGGAGAGAACAGTGACTGAGGTGTGTGTGTTTGTGTGTTTGTGTTTGTGTTTGTGTGTGTGTGTGTGTGTGTGTGTGTGAGGGGGGGGGAGGTACCTGTCTGGGAAAGCGATGAGGCAGAGGCCGACCTTCGCTACTGTGGATACAAGACTTTGAAGATGCGTTGGTTGTGAAAGCACACAGGGCTGGTTAATTAGCTTGTGAAAGAGGGACTTGCAGGCGTGCCGTGACGAGAGCCAGGATCTAACCAACTAATAATAGGTAAAGGATCTATTGCCAGATGATGATAAGGTAAATTATAGTTAATTCGTTAGCTAGCTTATTACATTTACCCGTACTGTATGGATCAATTAGCACTAGAAGGAGACAGTGGTCAAACCTCTTGATAAGCTTTACTTTCCCGGACAATTTCCTTTACACATTTTAGCCTGGGTCGACATGGTAAAAAAAAAAAACTCCCTCTCGGAGCTGAATTAGACCAGTATTCTTCAAAGTGTGGGCAGCCAAAAAGTCAACTTTGGTCGCCAAACCGTCTACTTCGGCCGCCAAACCGTCTATTTCAGCCGCCAAACCGTCCACTTCAGCCGCAAAACCGTCTACCTTAGCCGGTTTACGGTCTACTTCAGCCGCCAAACCGTCTACTTCGGCCGCCAAACCGTCTACTTCGGCCGCCAAACCGTCTACTTCGGCCGCCAAACAGTCTTCTTCGGCCACCAAACAGTCTACTTCGGCCGCCAAACAGTCTACTTCGGCCGCCAAACCATCTACTTCAGCCTCCAAACCATCTACTTCGGCAGCCAAACCGTCTACTTCGGCCGCCAAACAGTCTACTTCGGCCGCCAAAAAATTTCTGCCTGATCGTTTAAAGGGGTAGAGTAAGTAGGTTTTCTCCTATAGGATTACCACTACAAGAATAAGAATCAGAAGATGTAAAATCGGATGAAAAGTGTAATTATGTGACATCGGATCAAATATTCTGTTGTGCAAATTCGTTATTGTTTCTGTGTCTGGTTAGCTGTCAGATGGAGCGGAAAACGCTTCTTGTCCGGCGCGAGATTTCCTAGGAAATTCTACCTGACAGTCCCACAGTCTAACGGTGCTATGACATGCTTCCGTTCGGTGTGTATACGTGGCCGTGTAAATTCAGCTTGCTGACAAGTGTTTGGGTTTTCGTTTGATCGGGTCGACACAGGAATACTAACAAGTGAAGGAAATTCATGGCGAAGGCCAAGTCAGAAAGTAATGACAACGCTTTCACACATGGCAGAACAAAGGCGACGAAACTAACCAAAGTAAAAGACAGTGGAAATCCTGACGCAATAAAGGTTAACAGTGTTGAAAAAAACAAACACACGACACGTCAACAATAAAGGAGTTTTAGTATTTTGGGGTTAGTGTTAAATGAATAGTGACTGAGACTGACCAGAAACCCCACAATTGTTTTGACTGTTCCGGAAAATTCCATACGAAATCTCGCGACGGACAAAATTGGCTGAAAACCCCGAATAGAACCCGGGAAATAATTTCCCCTGTTCTTGTGGGCCGTAGGTCTAAATACGTTGACAACCACTCATTCAGACCATATACCTGATGCACCATAAGCGTAAAAATCGTCCTATACTTTACTTTTACCAATGTTGAAGATATTGTTTATGATGATTTGTTTAATTAAAACAAAAAAAAAAAAAAAAATTTCGCACACATGATATATAATAACCATATGGTGCTCTGAAAGGGAAATAGGCAAAATCTAGTTCTCTTCTTCTTTCGTTCGCTTGAAATAGATTATCTATATCTTTAATGTTGTCTGTAGTATGATTTCCCTGTCTGTTGTAATTCAGTCAGCGATACGTAAAATGTGGCTTGCACCGGTGTTTCTAGTGAATCAGGAGGCGATGAAAAGACACTGGCGTTGGATAAAACCGGAGAAAAAAAATTATTAGAATGTAATTGAACTGAAATCCACATTTTCAACAGATAAAAAAAAAAAAAAAAGAAACACACACACACACACACACACACACCCACACACACACACACACACACACACACACACCCACACACAAAAGAGAGAATTAGAGAGCGAAGTTAAAAATAGAACAGGAGGACATCGGGTTGAGCAACATGCTGTGTAAAAGTTCCAAGTATAGCACAAGTTACTTGAGTGCCTATGTTTTCATTGGATGATAAAGGGTAGAACCATATAAAAGAGACAGAAAATAACTGGCACAATTGTTTCATGCATACAGGAGAAACGAGAACTGACCTTTCGGGTGGGTCATAAGATATCTCGTCTTAACGATGACAAAGACACTAATTGCGAAGATCATGCTGACAAGAGGCACGAAAAATCCCCAGGCGAAGCTGATGTTTTGTTGGATGTAGGCCACTCCAGTATATGCTATCAGGGCTCCCACGTTGATGACCCAGTAAAACCTGCAATCAAATTCGTTACATAAATCCATAGGAAATGTGTTCACAGAGATGTTCTACTCTTCTATTCTTGTTCCATTTATCTTCCTGTGCACAATGTTCTGATATAAAGGATAGAATCTAGACCAGCACATTGGGCCTCCCTGGCCAACGTTCGTTCTAGGCTTTCAATTTGACGTTCTCGTTTCCTCCGTCCGTCTCTTTTCCTTATCAATGTTTGTTTGCGATTCTCTATCGCTTCATGAATACATATATATATATATATATATATATATATATATATATATATATATATATATATATGGTATATATTATATTTTAATATTAAGGCAACATGGCTAGTGCTGTCACCACGACAGAGCAGATGAGGATATTATTTTAGTCCGGGGTAAAAAGAATTTAACGACTGCGGATTCGAACCCAGGTCTACCGCACATGAACTCAGTGTTCTAACCATTCGACCAAGTAGCCACTTAATCGGAACAACGAAAAGAGAACTCAACTATTAGAAATGTGTGTCCTTACTACTGTGTCGCGATTAAAATACAATGCAAAACCGCAGGCAATTGTTTTCTCGTAGACAGATACTCCAGATATATTAATGAAATAGAAATCGCACGTGTCTAGCACGGTTAATGAAGTTAATGTCGCAGTCACTGTCTGCGCCGACGTCGAGATAGTCCTTGATTGCCCCCCCCCCCCTCCCCCATCAAAGGTTGTTTGAAAAAAAAAAAACAGAGAATAGAAATCGTGTTTAATATGGTTATTGAGGCAAATATAGAGATAGTCTTGTTTGCTGTACCACGACCTACTCTATGTATTAGAATTAGAGAAGGCGTTGGCTGCACGTAACTCGCCGGCGAATGGTAAATACGGCGCATGCGCAATTACTAACGTGGCTATAATTAGAAATCACTAAAGTTATAAATATTAGTTGCGAATATTTTCGCATAAATTGTGGTCACCTATCATTAACAGTGACAGGTTGAATTTCAAACCACGATGGTTCAAAATCCGGTATCAAAACAAACGTATCCTGAAAATTTCAGCTAAATCCGTTCAGTAGTTTCCGAGTCTATAGGGACCAAACAAACACACAAACATTGATTTATATATATATATAGATATATATACACACACAGATATTCGTTTACATGTGTGTATATATATATGTATATATGTACATATATATATGTGTTTGTGTTATTGTCCTGACACTCTTTTATTCGTTTTTCTTAATTCGTCCTGTGTATTATTCGTCAGTTTATGCGGCATTTTGAAACCGCCGTGGTGTAGCGGCTAGATGCTCAACTGCAGATCGGAAGGTCGTGGGTTTAGATCATGACGGAGCCTCTTATTTCAAAATGACCTTGTCTCTACCCAGCCTCAAATGAGTACCAGGTAAAGTCCTGGGAGGAAAAGGCTGCTGGCCCGATGCTGACCAAATCACCCGCTTAGTGCCGAATAATCTATAAAATATAGTTCTAGCCCTATATGCCCAATGCTCATGAAGGTCTGGAAAAGAGACCTATTTTTTAATTATTAATATTTTTAATTAGGCATTTGCTTTCGAATGCATTTACTAAATTTAAAAGCTCTCGGTCTTTCCTAGCCATACGTTTAGACTGAAATAAACTCGCACACATCGATAGGTTTTAAATCTATAACTTTATATTGTCAAATGTAATTGAAACAAAAATGAATAATGATATGTATACATGTAAAATAAAGGTCTCTTTACATGTTAGTGGCACATCGGGCAGATGAGGATTGACTCATATTTTGATAAATCAAATGGTCCTCGGTGTATGATGTAGTCAACATCATGCCGTGCTCCTTTACTTCCCAGGACTTTACCTGGTACCCATTTAAGGCTGGCGTGACCTGAATGAGATACATTTCGTATAAATTCCTATGGCTGTTATCCGTGCCACTGAGAGCAGTTACATTTTCCTTACTGAAAAAAAAGAAGACAGTAGTTTTACATTAAAGATTAACATCGCACAAATCATGACAAAGTAGCAAGTATTTCTACAAGTTCTCTAGTGGTGTTACCAGTTAAAGAAAGACTGGATGGCCTCTTTGCCCAGCACCTCCACCTGTTCGGCACCAAAAGGTCCAACGTTGGCCTTGATCCCTCCGGTTCCTATGGCAACCAGTGCTAGCCCGGTCATAAACATCGCTGTCCTTCCATTCTAAGAGAGAAGATACACACACACTCACGTACATTTGTATGTATATATGTATTGTCTGTGAAGACAGACAGACAGACAAACACAGAGACAGAGAGACAGACAGATATTGGATGGATGAATGGATGGATGGACGGACGGACGGACAGACAGATAGACAGAGTGACAAACAGACAGATAGACAGACAGCAGACACACAGAGAGACAGACATAATTTGCATTGATTCATACATACACATATTCAAATGCACACACATATATGCATTCACATAAATAATACATCCATACATACACATATATTAATACTACATAAATACATACGTGTATGCATATATATATATATATATATATATATATATATATATATATATATATATATATATATATATATATATATACATACATACCAACAAATACATACATACGTACGTACGTACATACATACATACATCACATATACACACATACTCATACATACCTACATATGCACACAGCCACACCGTACACAACACACATTACATACATACAACTTACTGTGGTCAGGCCCTCCCAACCCCATGACTCGTAGTCAATCGCTGACGCTGGAAGAAGGACTGTACCTGTTTGAGATAGAACATATCAGATGAGTGTATGTTCATGTGTGAATGTGTGTGCGGGCACGCGCGCGAATATGTGTGCGTATGTGTAAGTCTGTGTATGTTGTTGTGTGTGTGTGTGTGTGCATGTAGTGTGTTGTGTGTGTTGTGTGTGTGGTTCTTCCTATGTGGTTGCAGTTGCAGTTCTGTTTTTAGTTTACACAACCACATGCTCATCTTCCTTGAGACCTGAGATGTCTCTCCGCAGTTGCAATGTTCCAGTGCCGACTTTGTATACCCCATTCGGTTCTAATCTGGAGAGCAGGCATTGGTCATTACAACAGGGATTTAAAAAAAAATAATGATCTAATAGTGATAAATGAATTGTAAACACATGAATCATCATCCCACCACACGATAATATTATATTCTGCTTTAAGGGGCACTGGACTCACAGCCCATGGCGAAGGTGAGTGTGAGAAGCAAGACTCGTTTTAAGAAAAGTATTCCGCAATTATAGCATAGGATTTCAGGACCGCTGTTGTCATCTTCCTCGCCAAGGCACCAAACCTTAGCATTAGCGTAGAGACCACACGTTGCCCAAACATCATGGTTACTCTTTTGGCCTGCCTTGTTTACTCAAAAGAAAAGATAACACCAGTATGATTAGATCAAATCATGGTGCAAGAGCAATGCTCTACCTGTTCGCCTGTCGGAACTTCCCTCCTAGACCAGCATTCAGCCAAGGCTAAGGGCCTAGTCTGTGCTGTCATAACAAAGTGTTCAGGTTGAAATTCCTCTTTCTATGATGAGACTACTATCCTCCCCAATGCGGTTCTCCATCCCAAGCCGTTGACATAATGTGGGATGTCAGGTTTGATATACGCCGCCCAACATTTGGCTTTAACAGAAGAGAGATAGTACTGGCTACTGTTATACGCTAGCTGAGTCATATCTGACCAAGACTTCACCCAAAAAGAATGCCTTTTTGTCTTGAATATGGTCCAAGTGAGCGAGTTACTGTCGTGAAGTGAGCAGCCAACCCTACACGATGGACGAGTCGTGTATCTGACTTCCCTACGCGGACAATCAAATTTCAAACTTAAACCCGTCCGGAAGGGTATACAGTCCCTTATATTGATATATACCTATATCTGGTAAAATATTCATTTCTAGACCCTCTAGTTGCTTTGATAAATCTTCATTTTCAAACTTGCAACTGAAGGTTGAAGATTTCTGGTATTTAATTCAGAAATTCCTGTAAGCCGGGTTACACCTTGGGCATGAATACAGGGGACTTCTTTCCAAGAGACGCTAAGTTTGGTTTTGAGAAGGCATTCTTTCGCCTGATCCCAAAGTGTCAAGACGTGTATACAGTCTATGTAGAAATTTGCGCATTCAAAGTTCCAGTTCTATCTTGGAATAATTCCTAAGCTTGGGATGATACCTCCTCAGAGATCAGGCAGACGAATCACAGTCCAGCCAACTACCACCAACCCAAACGATTCTGTGCACCAAGCATACCCAAAAGTCCTGTCTATTGTGCCACTACCTCAACATGGCAAGAGTTTGTTTGTGAGTTCCAGGACCAGTGGACAATTGCAGACACCTATGTCATCAATCCAGAGAACCAGTCTTCAAGAGCTTTGTGGGGCTCTTATGCAGTTCTTGTGTCATCACCTGTGAGACAATCAGCTTGTACCAGATCAAATCGAGGCATGGATACCTGAGTCAACTACAGTCGAATCACCATGGACTGAGGGGAGCATTGACCTACGAACTGGGATAAGTGATCTATTATTCAAATTCATGCTCTCTTCCCAGAGCACCTTATGATTCCGATGATGAACTCATGTACACCTCAAGGCTAAATCTGCCTGCTTCAATCTCTGGGTTGTCATTGTTTCCTGAGCTCCATTCAATGAACTCTTGTTTGCCTATTCATTATTTTATGTATATATTGTGCTGATTACATGCATAAATTCTCATGGCTGACTTGGGTGTCCCTGTTTCACCATTCTAACTGTCTAGCTTTGATGTTTGTGTGAGTAATAAGTGTTATCTGTGTTAACATGGCTATGATAGTATACTATCATAACCTGGGGGCTACCTTGTTATAGTGTGCCTAGGAATATTATATATTTTGCAGTGCCAAAGCTTGAGTTGCCCTACTCCTGAAATAAGTTGAGTGTATATTGGCCACTTGATATCCCTTAGACCAATACGAGCCAACGACTCAACATAATTATTTCAGAGTGCTGTTGGTTCTTAAGGAGAAATCCTTTAATCAGGCACGTGACAGGAGCGATATGTGACAGTGACGTTCAGCACCACCAGAACAGCACAAGGAGCTATAAACACCTGGCAACACAAAGTGCCACAATTTGGATGAGAATCACCCTGGCCCAAGTCCCTGAAACCCCGTGCAACCGTTACGTTATGTTAGGGCCCCAAACGACAGCCCAGATGGGGCTTTAATATAAAAAAAGGTGTCCCATATTAGGGCGACGTAATGAGGTGGAAGTATTGGACCTTGCAAGAAACGGTTATTTATGAGTCAGCCACTTCAATAACAACTTTAATAAGGAGCTTATCAGTTTTAATAAAAAATACAAACTGAACAAATGAACACGATAATGTAATAATAAATAAAGAAACAAGAATGTTTAATATTCATTTGGGAGCAGCGTTAGTGTAGAGGCTAGACTCAGATCTGAATGTCGTGGGTTCGAATCCAAACGGATCAAGACTTCTTCCAAAAATCACCTAGGTTCTCAGGTCAACCCAGCTTTAAATAAATACCAGGTAAAGTCCTGGAAAGTAAAGGCCACTGGCTTGATGCTGACCACATCACCTAACAAGTGCCGACTGTTATATAATATATAGGTCTAGCCCAATATACCCCAATACGTCTACTGGATAAGAAAAGGGTCCTTTATGTCAGCTTTGTTACTATTTTCGGCAGCAGCGCTGCAGCGGGCTGTATACTGTAGAAACTGTGAGGCAGCTGCAAAGGGTAAATTATTACAGCTTTAAAGATAACACTCTGAACAATTTTTTGTCGACTTTTTAATGCATTCTGGGCAACGTATATCAAACGAAACACCCTTCCTGAGACCGTTTGAGCATTTTTTTGTTTTTTTTAGTAAGTGGCGGGGGGGGGGGGGGGGGTGTTGGTATAGTTAGTTGGTTAGTTAGCTAGCTAGCTAGTTAGCTAGTTAGTTAGCTGGTTAGTTAGCTGGTTAGTTAGCTGGTTAGTTAGCTGGTTAGTTAGCTGGTTAGTTAGCTGGCTAGTTAGCTGACTATATAGATGGTTTTTTAGCTGTTAGTTAGCTGGCTAGATAGCTGGTTTATTAGCTGTTTAGTTAGCTGGCTTGATAGCTGGTTAGTTAGCTGGCTAGATAGCTTGTTACTTAGCTGGGGCTAGTTAGCTGGTCAGTTAGCTGACTATACAGATGGTTTATTAGCTGTTTAGTTAGCTGGCTAGATAGCTGGTTTATTAGCTGTTTAGTTAGCTGGCTTGATAGCTGGTTAGTTAGTGGCTAGATAGCTGGCCAATTAGCTGGTAACTTAGCTGGTTAGCTAGCTAGGTGGTTAATTCGATAGTCTTAGCAGAACAGTTAAGAGTGCGGGGTTTCCATGCGGGAGACACGAGTTTAAATTTTGGATACAGTTGGGAATTGGTTTATTTCGGGATGGTGAGCGGGGGGGGGGGTAATCGTAACCTGCACAGTTCGTGGCGACAGCACTAGCCATGCGACCTTCAATCTCCAGGCTAGGTCACCAACCCCCACCCCCTCCCCCATGCATTCACCGGAAAAGTTGTAAATGCAGCTAGCATCTGGCAGTTGGTAGTCATAATGAAAAGTCGATTTTGTCTAGGAAGAACATACTGAGAATTGATTAAGTAGGATTATCAACACAGCGCTCCCTACAGATCCATAGATGCTCAGATGTCCTCCTCAAACGACGCACAAGCATAAAACGACTGATGAAGCCGGTTCTGTGTTCGTTAACGAAACGTTTTGTCCCTTTGTTGAAATGCACATTTCTCGCAGCTCAAGGTTAACGTCTGTAGGAGTCTGTGACTTAGGCGTTGGGAACGCGCTTTGTAATGCCGGGGCGCCGGGTTCGATCCCAGCTGTGGGCCTTGAACCTTCCGTTGGTTTCGATAGTTGTATTGAGAAGCCGACCGTCCAGAGGCAATGACAATCTACTGGATGTAAATTTGCCTAGAAAAACCACAGCGGCCAAGCAAAGTTTGGAGAAGCTCTGCAGCGTCCTGTAAAGGATAGGCAACTAACAAGAATTTACTAACAGGTCATGATATTGATAACATCGCTTCTCAGCACCGAAACAGCCATAGCATCCGCAATGTATGGGAGGTAATCTGAACACTCATTGCTTCTTTCACCCCCCTAAATCGGCTCAAAGAGCAAGGTTATGCTAGCCATTAGAGAAGCGCTTAGTTTTATCGGATGAACCAATGTTTTACAGAGGAAGGTTATGCTAGCCATTAGAGAAGCGCTTAGTTTTATCGCATGAACCAATGTTTCACAGAGCAAAGTTATGCTAGCCTTTAGAGAAGCGCTTAGTTTTATCAGATGAACCAATGTTTCACAGAGCAAGGTTATGCTAGCCTTCAGAGAAGCGCTTAGTTTTATCGGATGAACCAATGTTTTACAGCGAAAAATGCGCAAATTAATTTTTATTTATTGTTTTGTTTTACACTGTTAGACCACTTATTTTATAATGGTCATATGTGAGGATATATGTTAAAACATTTGCATACTTTAAGTTTTAAAAAATCATGGTTGCCATGGCAATAGCCACCATCTTGGCAACAACAACAAAACACACAAACACACAAAAAAACACATGTACTCAGAATTATAAAATTTCAAACACAGACATAGGTATCGAGAACTAGACGATGGATTTATGAACTTTAATCATTTGTTGAAGTACATGAGTAGTTTATTTACTTTGAAGTTGATAGTAAATATTTTTCTTAGAATTTTAAA